ACTTTTGTTTCCTGATTATTGATTGATTTTATTTTTTTTTAAAAAGAGAAAGAAATTTTCCTTTTAGAGACATATGTCCCATTTTTTTCCATCATTCCAAAGTATTTTGGAGATCCCTTTAAGAATGTTGTGAGTTGAATTGAATAACCAATGCCTGGATAGATTAAGTAACATAAATTAAAAACAGAAAGTTAAGCAAGGAGGTGAGTGCCGTTACCCAGGTTTTATTGTGGATTAAGAAACTGATTGAAATAAATCTATTGTAACATAAGATAATTGCATACATAATTAGATGCTTGAGGCTGGACAAACATGTAAAGTTTGATTTTCAAATTTCTAAAAACAAACAACGTGAAGTTCAAACAAACAAAACACCACTATCTGTATGTCAATGGCTTCTGGGGTTGGCAATAAAGATTATACACAGTGTCCATCACTAAGCTGTCTGTGACCCAGGAAAGGTGTCATCCTGACACCTCCACCAAGCTGTTTCCCATTTGTGCCATTTTCTCAGACTATTTCCAAAATTCTGTGTTTTTGTGTCCAAATCATTAGAGAAATTATTCAGACAGGCATTCTTTTTCATTTTTTACATCTTTTCTTTTAAATTTATCTTTTGGTCTTTCTAACATAAATTAATTCTATCACATTTCCAAAAAATGCTGTTCCTGAAGAGTTCTTTTTTCCATCTCTACTAATTTTTTGGGGGAGAATGGGAGCTTCAAGTCTGAGGAGGTTTCACAGGGGCTAAAAGGGCAGCAGAAATAAATGTCTACACCACAGCATAATCAAAATTAATTCCTACCCTGTTTTTGTATTTCAAGAAAGGACATAGGTCAAAATAACAGTGTCAGAGATATGAGAAATTTGCAGTATTGCCCTGGGGGAAGTTCTTCAGCTAGTACAGAATTTCAAACTCAGGTAAGACTGATGATTGCTGTTGTCTCTACATTTGCTGAGAGAAGGAAAATGGAGGGAAATGTATTTTCAAGATGTCTTCCATTACATTATGCATAGTGCATTTTATGCCCTGCTAACATGTGAGAACTGAAACTTGAAGTGATGCAGTGCATCAGAGCCCCAGATTCCTGAAACACTGGCACCTCAGGCCTTAGTTTGAACATCTCCGCTCTGCTCCTTGATCATCAGCTGTGTTCACATACCTTTCTGCAACAACTTTTATAATTTGCACTTGTCTTTTATTGCACAGCAGTGTTCTGTTCCCCCAGTCTAATCCCAGTCTAATTTGTTCATATACCTTTCAGCCTCTCGAGGATTTCTATACCTCTCCTTACCTTTCAAGTTTTGAATGGACTTATTCAAGCAGTAGATTCAGAAAGCTCTTTATTTGCCATTCTTCAAATCCCTAATTCCAGAGTGATATCTTTCTCTAAAAATTAGAAACTTTCTGGTTGGGAACACATGGCCTGAATGGCAGCTATGCAATGCTGGCTCCATGAATTTCCCTCTCACTGAGCTGACATGTTTACAGGCAGCAGAGTTAGGAAGTCTGCACAGCTGCTGATAGTGCTGTAACTGTGCTCACAGTTCTTAATCAAGTCAATCCTAGGAGTGCAAAGTCATGATTACAAAGTCGTACACAGGAGACTTAAATATTCTCACTGGAGGTTTAATGGGAATGATGCGACTTGTGCTGAAGGTAATGGCAAATTCTGATTCTTTTCCCCCTGAAATGGATCAGGCCATATTTATTACCATTTTTGTTTAAATGTAGTCTTTCACTCCTCCCATTTTCTCATCCAAATTAAGCGTGTGGCACTTACCCCAATGTACTGCTTACCACTGTGCAGAGCATACCTACATGGTCATCAGGGGACAGCTTAGCACTCACTCTTTGTTTGCCTCAAACAACATAGATATGAACAAACCCTTATCTGAAGACACTGTGCTCCAGTCTGTCTCACTGGGATGTACCATGGGATGTACCATGCCTATTAGGAAAGGTACACAAACTGTGAAGGGAAACTGTTCACTTCCAAATAGTTTGCAGTGCAGGCATCCTTAACAGATGGTGGAAACATCTCTGCCCAAACTGCGAACATTCATAGGTCCAGCTGTAAACTTAGATTCTCATTTCAAACTCTGCACCTGAGAAACAAAACGAGGACAGCGCATACTTCATAAGTGGCATCTTTCCTGTAGAACAAGGTAGACAAAATATATTCAAAAAATGCTGCAAAAAGGAACAAATGCCTACTTTCACAGAGCCAAACTACAGAAATTTGGGCTACATAGAAAATACATTTTTCTTGATAGCAGAAAGAAATTACTGAAATCTTAGAACCGAGTTTTTACTTTCTTATTTTTTCAAGTAGGAAAAACCCCCGTCTCACAACACACAGCAGTAGCTCAGCCACCTCTTCCACACAGAAGTCAACGTGTTGTAATGACTCCTGAGCACGAACAGAAATAAAACCATCAAGGTACCATTAATAGTAATTTTCCAGTGGTTATTTATGGGCCTGATCAGCACTGCACATGCATGCCAAATAGTAACTATTCATGCTTGCAGTCCCAAGGGTATGATGGAATTGCTTAGAGCAGAACAAATCAGGAAATGTTACTTTCATGTTCAAGGTAATGGTTAACAAAAAGTTTATTAAAAAAAAAAAAAAAAAAAGAAAGAAAAAAACTTTTTATAGTATGAAACGATAGAGCTGTACCTCAGTAGACGAACATCACTAAGAAAACAGAGCAATAAAAAATCTGTTTTAAAAGAAGTACAAAAACAGTCACTGAGAATGTGACAATTCCAATGACAGAATGAATGCAATTAGCCAGAAACGTCCAAAAACTAAAGGGTTGGGCAGAAATCACCAGGAAAGAGCCTGTCTGCTGCTGCTTGTACGAAGGCTGCTCTGAATGTAACGCCTCCTATGTTATTATGTTGGCCCATAACATAAGTGGCAGTTGTTGGTGGTATGGCACTAAAGGTTGAATATTCTACCAATATTCCATCACATCTTCTTGCTGGCACCCATTGACATCTGTTGATGCTTGTTGAATGCTTAGGGTACAAGACAGTGGATATGAGTACAGTGAGGTGCTGGGTGATGCATTTCAGCCGTGGTGACAGTAACAGTGGAGCACCTCCACTGGTGCATATTTTTATGAGCACAGCATGCAAATTCTTGTTCACTGCTGGAGAAAATGCAGAGCTAAATGTGGTGACTGTGCTGAAAAACAGTGTTTTGTATCTGAAAATGTGCTCTATCAAATAGTGTCATTGTGCTCTTTGTATCTATTGTCATTTCCATGGAAATAAATAGGAGCCATTACTTTTGGAGTGACATATATAGTTCAGTCCTAAAGCAATCTGCACATGGTGATCTACCCTCTCAGCTGCTTCTGGAACTCCTGGTAAAGAAAACATTCCAAGCATCCAGATCTTTAAGAAGCTACCTTTCCTCACATGAGTTACTGTCAGAGTGAAGGGAAGAATTCTCCTCTCTCCAATCTTCGGGCTATGGGTGTGTCTACCAACCATTCTTCCGCAGATATCTTGCAGGCTGGTAACAGTGTTACCAGCCCAGGTAACAGTGACAGGATGAGAGGTAATGGCCTTAAGTTGCACCGGGGCAGATGCAGGCTGGATATGAGGAAAAGATTCTTAGAAAGAGCTTTGAGGCATTGGCACAGGCTGCCCAGAGAGGTGGTGGAGTTAGCGTTCCTGAAGGTGATCAAGAAACGTGTGGATGTGGGACTGAGGACCATGGTCAGTGGGCATGGTGAGGATGGCTTGGCAGTTGGGCTAGGTGAACTTAGCGGTCTTTTCCAGCCTTAATGATTCTATTATTCTACTCTATGATTTCGAGATCTCCAGCACTTAGCATGGAGCTGATATCCCTGTCTGGTGATGGGCTCACAGCAGTGCTGCACGGGGGGGCTCTGGGCCTGATGCAGCCCATGAAAATCTCCACGAGTTCTCTGCTTCTGTCAAAGATCTGCAAACAGCAAAGTAAGCACGGCACTATGAGAGGTCGTGTCCCACAGACTCTCCTCGCTGTTTCTAAGAAAGAGCAGAGCCTACAGCGAAGGCTGAAATCTGAAAGGGACGATGGTTGAAGAGGGCGACTCTCGCTGTCCCCCGGCTCCACCTGCTGGGAGCTGCCCGCTGCGCGCTCGGAGGCACCGCGGGGTGAGCCCCCTCTCCCCGGCTCGAGGATGTGTCAGCCGGGGACGTTAAAGAAGCTGGAGCTTGCATAGCGCGGTGTCACGCTCACGCCCCGACAGCCGCTGCTCCCTCGCGAGTAGGGCTCTGCTCCCTCCGGAGCAGCGTGGGGCGGAGGGGTAAATCTTCTCCCGGGATCTCCACGTGCTTAAAAGGCTCGCATAACTTTTGGAACAGGGATTTAGATGACTGCCGGCCGCTGCACCGACTGCAGTTTCTCTCCGGACACAGGCAGCCGGAACCCCGCTCCCTCAGCCCGCACTCCGTTCCCCTCGGCCGGCAGCCTCCCTTCCTGCGTCCCCGTGGCTTTTCTCTCCCGAAACGCGGGCTGAGCTCAGAGGAACTTCTCCGGGACGAGGAGGAGACGGGAGAGCGCAGAGCTACGCTCTGCTGATGGGAGCCTTGAGGCGCCGCGCCCTCACGGCACGCAGTGCCCAGAGGCGGCGGCTCGGGCACCGCACCCCCCGCCCCCCAACACCACGCGGGTGACAGGACTCCGTTCTGCCTCCCCCGCCTCCTCCGCTGGGCCGCCCCCGCCCCGCCCGCTCGGCGCGGCAGCCCCGCCGGCAGCAGGCGGCCGGGAGCAGCGGGGAGGCGGGCGTGGGGGAGGCGCTGCTGCCGCCGGGCGCTCTCCATCCGCCCCGCTCCGACGTCGGCGCGAAGCCCTCCCGGCGCCCGGGGTTTGGGGAGGAAGGAGAGCGCGTCGCGGGCAAGAGGAGGCGGATGCTCGCAGAGGTACGGCTCCGCCGGACTGGCACGGCTCTGGACTGAGCCGCAGCTGGACGCGGAGTGCCGGTGTATCCGAGCACCGAGGGCCGTCCGGGAGCCGGCAGCCGCAGATCGAGCGGAGAGCGCCGGGAGCACGGGCGCAGTAAGTCCCGGCAACTTCGCCGCTCCGAGTGGGCGAGGGAGTGGGAGAGGGTAGGGCAGCGAGCCGGGAAGGGACGGTAAGGCGAACAGTGAATAGGGAGCGGGCTGCGGGGGTCCGAGAGGGGCCGGGGGCTGTCGGCACGGTGGCTGGGGGACACCTGAGCCCACACCAGCGCTCCCCGCTCTGCCCGGCGCTGTTTCCGCGCTCCCTCCGTCCCGCTGGGCTCCCTCTGCGGTGACAGCGCGGTGTAAAAGCGGCACTGGTCCGTCTCGGAGCGGTGCCGCTGGTGACGGTAGGCTGATGTATGAGGCTATTTACTCCGTGTGTCCAAGCACAATAAAAACGCCTGCCAATTTTGTCTTCAAATTGCTGTATTGATTTCATTCTTGCGGGCTTCTTGACAAGGTTAAGGTAGTTGACAGTTTGTAAGGGAAAGAGAAAAACTTCTGGTTTATTCTAGTTACTGAATGTCGTTTGTAGCTGAAATGGTGCACGAAAATATAATTCGTAAAAACATCAAATAGGACAAGGCAATCCCCAGATCTCCAATAGGAAGATGTGATCCCTGGACCTCCTGCAGTCAGTATCATCAAAACCTAGCAGATGCCCTCCTGCCATGCTTCTGTGCCCACCTTGAACTTCACGGTAACACAGTATTCTCCCCAAGACTACATGCCTCCCCTTTACAGTAGTCACATAGTTGAGAATGAATGAAGTCAGCCATTGCATTACTGCATGCTTTGTCTTTTTGTCAGCTCAGATTCAAACTGAGCTCCTGCTCCTTTCCCCCGGTGCTGGCAGGGCAGTGTTCAGCAGGAGGCCCCATGCCTGCTCCCAGAAAGGTCCTAGCACTGCATCTCTGCTCTCAGCAGCTGAGGTTGATGAGGGAATTTAATTCACCACTCATACAATAATTGTGAATTAGAGAAATTAAATACAGGAGAGCAAGTGTTTCCTTTGAACGTTTCCAGACATCTGTCAGCCTTTGCCATTAGGTAACCTTTGATAAGTTGCCTCTGTAGTAACTTACATACAGTGGCAGATATGAAATTATGCTGGATGAACTAAAACCTGCCTGACAGTGCTACTGTATGCTAACTGTGTAAATCTTGGGTAAATCATGTCACCATTCAGACCCACTCCTAGAGTATGTTTTGCCATAGGTTTTCATTATCACTTGAAGAGTTAGTGTCAGCCAATTTTTGTTAGAAATTCAAGTGGAAGGGTTTAAATTTGGGCAGTGATATCTCTAACTCCACAGCAGTGTTTTGACATCATGGGTGATGGGCACAGAGATCTTACTGTTTAAAAATGGCTATATATAACAAGCTGTTTTGTACGTTCATGAGAAACAGGCTATTGAAACCTGCCTTACACTCATATTTTCATGGGCAATTTCATCAGAATGGCTTATAAGCAATATATACTGCTGCTTGCATACGTACTGTATTATAACACAGGTATTCAGACAGGATGGGGGCATTTTGTTGCTTACGGCAAAGGCATTTACAAATAAACAGCTAATATTGGATTTACTGTAGAATTATTGGCTAATAATAGAGTTCTGTGTTATAGTCTAGTTCACTGTAGCTCATGAGCTTTAAGGGAGGGGAAGGAAAAGAAGAATCCTTTCTAAAAGCCTTGTTGAAATACTACTGCATAAAATATGCACAAGAATTAGCTTATTAAGCTCACTGAATCCAGTTCAGCAAACTTTTTTTTCAGATCTACAGTAGAAACGCCTTTTGAAAAAGTAGAGAATCTTCATTAAAGATAAAAACAGTGTTCTGTAGAATGTTTGGCTTAAGAGTTTCCCTTCCAACCTGCCTCCCGTACCTAAGTAGAGTGGGACACTGCTGAAAGTTAGCCAGTTAGCATTGAAAGTTAACTAAAAGCTGTTATCTATAATCTGGTAAGAAGCTAAATGAGCACTTGATTCTATGCTAGTCCTGTCAGTTTAATAATATGGTCTTGACCAAAATAGCTGCCAATAATTTCCATCATTTTTGTGTAAGCAAAAATGGGAGAAGGAAAAGCATACCATGACTTAAAATTCCTGAAAAGTCATTGCCCAGAAGAAACTCTTCTATATTTACTTTTAAAATGATGCATACAAATACAGTTTTTGGAAAAAATGAGCAACGAAATAATGGAGCTACACTTGCCTGGAAGCTGTGATAGCAAGTGCCTTGAGTTTCGGTTTTGCAAATGCTCATCAGTTCTGCATATTAGTAAGCTCATTTTTTGTTTATTTTTTTCTGATAATTGATGTTCAAGGTCCTAATTGCTGCCACTGGAGTCAATATTAAATCTCTTATTAATGCTCACACGGGTCACACCTGGGCTTTCTAGGAGCCATTCTGGTACATGTAAAACACTTCCAATTCCTGCTGCTTGTGTCAGAGAGGTATCCAGGGAGAAAAAAATTCACTCCTTTCAGAAATTTGCAGTGCAGGTAACAGAGCCAGAGACACCTTGCTGAAGGCCCTGCTGTAGGTCTGGAACATCAGTATTCAGTGCTACAAGGCTTAACAAGGCTACACTGAGCAGCTTTAACAGGATTGAGCATTAATTGATGCTTTTGATGAAGGTACCCTCAAATGAGTGGCCAGTGCCTTAAGGTTAGGTGTTATTTCCCTGTGATCTCATTTACTTCAGTCTTAAGCTCAATGTTTACTAGCAATAGCCTGCCAACAACTGCACAATATTGTTTGTTCTGTGCCACTTTTTGATCACACTCCCACTTCCCACTGGACACTGCTTTTGGTCACTTCGCTTTGTAAGGAGTGGGTCCGACTTCCAGTAACACTTGTTCTCTGACTTTGCTCTCTGACACGAGCACAGGTTCCAGGAACAAATCGCTGAGTCAAGAAGCAGAGCTCTGGTGGCTGTGGGGCAGTGCTGCTGCACGAGAGCCATGCAATCTCTGTGTGGGGCTGTTTTGTCCAGAGAACACTTGTTGCAATACAGATGATGCAAGGAGTAGTTCTGATGCAGAGAAAACCTCCCTAGAAATTTCCTTGTAGGGTAGCTCTCATTCTTGTGAATCAGGAGAAACAGCTGTGAAAGATGACATGGCTAAATAGCAGCAATAATTTTAAGAAAGAAGCTTGAAGATCAATAGCAGGTATACTATAGATGTTTTGTGCTGAAGCTTTTTGTTATTCTTACTGTTACAGCTCCAGTCATGGTTTTTGATGGTAGAATTTGGCAGGTGGGAAGGCTGGAGAGCCTGTGCACAAAGCTGCTTAAAGTTGCCCCTTATATTGAGTAAAATTTCAACTGGATTATCCGTGGACAGCAGAGATTCTGATTTCTCACACAGGGGTAGCTGATGCAGCATGCTGAGAGCAGCAAGGCCGGCCATACCTTAGTTCATTGACAGCACTAGTAACAGTGCTAGGCTTAGTTTGATGCAGGCTTTTGCCTCATCAGTGAGCTCCTGAGCCACTCCCTGTGTTTGGGGTGGACTCTCTGATGGAGAACTCCATTTGACTGTCTCTGCTGATGCTTATGGATGTAATACAACCAAGGAAGAGCGAGAAGTTTTGGGATTCAGCCTTAAAGTGAAAGTTGAGTCATTTAACAGAGGTGATAGGAAATAGCACTGTAGATATAAAGCATGAGAGCAATGCAACCATAGGTTTCTCCATGGTTCTCCCAATGCTTTCAGAATGAGGATCATCCTGTAGAGAGCACAAGCTTTTAGCAAGCTGCATGCTTCAGGGCTGTAGTCCTGCAGGGTGAGTCCTGAAAGGAGGAGCAGCTAAATATGAGCACCACAGCCCTGGGAGCTTACAGGGTGCAGTTCAGTGGGTCCAGGAAGAGATAGAAAAATGATATTGCACTGCTGTTTTACCTGAACAGTACCAAAGAGCTCTGTGAAAAATAAAATTCATGCAAATGTCCACTGTTCTTTGACATGATTGCACTGCTCCTGGTTTTTAACAGTGGTTGTATGTTGTTCAGTAGAAGTGGTAGCAAACAGAAGCTTATTTTAAAATAAGCTTCTGGACCATGGCTTTTTGATCATTTACATATTTTGGTTATACTTGTCAAAACACCTGGCACAGACTTGGCAGAATTGATGAATTACGCCTCACTTTTAGTAGCATTTGTGGAAATATGCATCCATTTCAGCTTCATGTGTCATAGTTTCACATAGCACTGTTTAGCAAATCATTTCCAGCAATGCATACAGGAGCCATATGCCTGTCCACGGCTTTTTATGAATGTTGTTTACTCTTACCAGAAGTCATATGAATAATACATTTGATAAGTTTTGCAATACTTTGTTTGAATCCACTGTTTCACTAGGTTTTATTTATAGTAGCTCTAGCAGTACAAAAAAGGTATGACGTATGCTTGTTGGCAGCTTTGACGTGCTAACTTTAGTTTCTGATGTCTTCATTAGCTTGGACAGAATCACAAGTTAGAAAATTGCTGTTACTCAAAAGCCTGTGTTTGAAATGCCTTTTTCCTCCTAAATTGCTTCTAAGTGCTGAGTTACCCCTTCACAATTGGAAAAACAGATTTTTATTCTCTTGTTTTGTCCTAGAAATTGGACACTTTTGCAGGCAATGCCAAGTGAGTTCACAGATGTACTTAGAGGTTGCTTGAATCAAGATGAGTTGTCTTGTCATTAGAGTTGTCGTCTCACAACTAAGCTGACAATAAAAACACACCTTTGTTAAATAATATGAAACACTTCTGAAAATACAGTGCTGCTTTTTACAAAGATGTCAAGGCTCTACCACTAAGAATGTGCTGACATCTATTTGCAAGAGGAAAAGAAACTGAACTTCTATTTTAATTTTTTTATTAGTGGCTGGAATGACACTCCATATTTGGCAGTATCTCTCCAAAGGCCACCTGAACTTTATGTGCATTTTTATGGAGAACTATTTCCTCAGTTTTTGGTGCTCGCATAACGAGAAGTGATACATTCCATGGCACTGCTGAGAGCTCGATAGGAAAAATGAGAAAGGTAATGAAAGACT